CAGACCAGTGGCATTTTTGCTGCCACTGCGATATGGCAGCGCCCACAAATCGGTGGTAGGAATTCGTATATACTTTTTTCTTCTTTTAAAAGTTCAACTTTACTGCTCTTATGCAAATGACAAATTGATTCTGGGTACTTTACCTCCGTCCTTTTCTGTGTTCCCTCCCCTCAACAGCTGAGGGACATTTTTCTGACCTTTAGTAGTCGACACAAGGGACTCTTGAGTTTGTTCAATGTAAGAGGCACAATGGCACAAAACAAAGTCAATGAAAAGCCATGAGATTTTTTTCCCTTCCAAATTTGGCAGGACTTAATTGCGCTCTGTATCCATTAGACCCTACCACTTAGGTTGGCAGAAGATCAACATTTTCCATAAATGTAATTTATAGTTTTATGGTTTAGTTCTTCTAACAATTACCCATAGTATGGGGAGTGAAAACAAAGGGATACCGACATTACTCAGCAAATCATATCAAAACACTACAATAAATAAAATACAAAACTAAGGAAGAACAGATCATGATACCTATCTATTTAATTCATTTAGCATACAAATGCAATTGTTTATTGATTACTTTTGACCAAATGTAACTTTAAGCTGAGATAAATCAACTTTTAAACCATTAGCAAACCATTAGCTAGCTTTAAACAGCTTAAATTATACTTTTAACTTACATTTCATTTCATTAACTAATTCCCAATTGTATGATTCTTTTCAGTTATCTTCACTGCTTATTCATCACAACTAACTTGATTATTTTCCTTTTATAGTACATTCAGCTCATTATTTAATGTTCACAGCTAATTTTGCAACTAGTCTACTAGTTCACTAGCTACTAGCTTGCTAACAAGCTAGCTGGTATTCAAACACTATGTAATTAGGTGGCACTGACCTTAGGAAGCACACTGTCCTGCTGGGGGAAAAATAGACAAGGATGTCTTTTTCCAACAGTAGACTGTTCACAGCATGACCAACATGGCTACATGGAAAAAATGTTGTTTTATATAATGATTTTAGACAACTTTTTGATTCATTCATTTTGATTACATGAGCACAAGACAAACGTAAGACATTGCCATGACAAAGCTTGAGATACAGACTTGAGATAGACACAACATTTCTCACACATGTTAAAAAAAAGTCTACACAACAAATGTTTTTGTAAAACTGGCTTGCTTAGGGGCAACTTGTGTAATGAACTTATTCTGTTGAATCTGCATGTGGCCCATGCATGCTGTCTTTCTCAGACATGAAAACTTGCCTGAGGTCAGTGCTTGAGGACAACTAGTTAACTGTAGCACAGGATGCTTTGAACTTTGGATTTGGCTTTGGCAGAAACAGCAGCAGCGCTGAGGCCCTGCGCTACCGGAAGCTTGTGGTCTGGGACGGCTCCATTTACTACTCTGTTCTGGTGCTAAATATACAATAATAAAAAGACTCACAGATTTATTTCAGACTGTGATACATTTCCTCTCCAGCGACAGAAGAAAGGGAAGCAACAGACAGACGTCTCCAGATCACCAAAAAACATTAAGTGATAATTACAGGGAGAGATAGACAAAAAGAGAGAGACGAGGTTCCCCCGCTCGCTTGTCTTCCTCTTCCTCTGCCACCAAAAAGGAGAGTGGCGTCTCCAAACTAAAGAGGGGCGCCCGCTGTATTAGACTCCCAATGATTGGCTATGATTGCATTATCTGATCCCATGAGGGATAAAAGGACAGCAACACACTCAAACACACACCACATGCCATTTTCATTGCTCAATGATCACTGCCTCCTCAGAAGTCCAACATGGCTTTTTTAAAGCCATCTTTAGACATGTAAAGGAAAGGAAAATGTGATTCAAATTCAAACATTGTCTTTATCTGTTTAAAGTCTTTCTGACACACACAAGCGCGCATGCACACTCACACACATTCATACCCTATGTACTCGACTTCACCACCAGTCCACCGCACTCCTCTCAAAGCTCTTTGATCTCTGGTCGAGGGTCCTCTCCGCGGTGCCTCTGTCTGAATTCCAGAGATTCTGGGATAATTCAAACGTTTCACGGCACATACTTGCTCCCCCCAGGAGACAGCGGCAGAGATGGAAAATGCCACCATGGTCTCTCTCCCTCCATTGTCCCTACTCTTTAATCAGGCCCTCTCTGTGGCTCGCGCTGCCACCGTGGTGTGTTGTCTCACCCTGGGAAAATGCCGGCCTAAGTGGCTGTTATGTGCGGAGGCGAAGACCACAGGGACCCAGAGGGGTGCTGCTGGAGCCCTCTGTGCCAGCCGTGGGTCTCTCAGTGGCTAACACACACAATGAGTGAGGTCCCAAATCTGAATGCAGCCTTACATAACAGTCATCACTCCATCTATTTACTTTTTAGCTTCCATCAGTAAATCATATGCCATCATAATCATAGGCATACGACAAAACCCGACCATAAATTATGAATAATATTCGTTGCGCAGGGTTTTCTGGGCGTAAACCAGCATTAAACTGCAACACAGATAGAGCAGTATGGTAGAAACGCTTGTGTGATTGCTTGGCTATGAAAGGTCTGTGGAGAGGGAGTTTCCGGCCCCTTTTGTCAACAAATGACCAAAACAAAGGCCTTGTGTTGCCCCTGAGTCAGAGCAAGAAGAAGGTCAGCTACCGCAGAGTTCACCAGCTTTGCTCTGGGGTTGACTCTTGTTGGGGCTGGGCTTCTGGGTCAAGCGACAGTTTGCCAGCCTTCAGCCGGACACAACGCTTCATCAGGTCAAGTTTGAAAGGCCTCAGCGAAACCCTGCTGTTTTATACTAGTTTATATTTAGTTCTTATAAGCATGAAAAGAGCTTTTATGAGGTGCCATAAATTTCATTTTCAAAAGAGAGTGAGCATGGAGGCTCATGTACGCCTACCCTGTGGTTTCCCCAGGCCACCACGTAGCCTTTGTGTTCACTCTGTTTGCCATGGGAAAATATCTGAAACAAATAAGACGCTCGGCCGGCACCCATCAGTGTAAAAACACTTCTAAGAGCTGTGGATTGTGCTTAGAGGGTGTGCCGCAGTATTGGAGGAACTACTTATACTCCTGCTATGTCCGAAAATAAAAAAAAGGAATTACTTCTTTTCTAAACGGAAAGCGTATAAACAAGTATCTTTAGCAGACAACAAGAGCAGGGCCGCCTGCAGTCGTGCAGCGACATGCCGGACTGGTTTTGAGCAGGACCCTGACATTTTCAGGTTGTTTTAATAACTATCATCATTGTCCTCATCACCATCAATGAGTTTCTGCAAAGGAGAAAATTAAAAACAGTTCAACTTTGATTTAAAAAAAGTAGGCCTACTGTCAAAAACAAATAATAACCACCAAGGTGGGTTAAGAAATTAGTATATTGCAGTAACCAAGATGTCTTTTGGCACCAGAAGTGATCATTTTAGGACAAGATGGTGGAGCTGAGAGGAACGAGGTGTTAGCAAACACAAATTATGCACAATGCTAATTTGTTAGCATGCTTATGAGGTAGTATCATAGACTGTAAATATTAACGGACGAAGCCTGAGTGACATCAGCCATCAATCCATCATTTTACAGTTGTAACGGGACGTCTCTTGTCGAGGCGGCCGTCATGATGAGCCGCTATCGTTACAGTGGAAACACCTGATGTTACGTCAAAGACCGCTAAGGAAGCGGGAATTGCTAATGAAAGCTGCCAGACAGTTGCTGTAAGTATTGCTGTGACAAAAATGTCATTTAAATTATGATTAGATACATCGTCTGTAAACATATTATTGTCCTCAGGTCTGTTTTGCCTGTTCCTCTGTTTTTAAAGGTTGCAGCATGAAAAGTACAATACAGCGGTCCTCACAGAAGAATTATTTTTTTTGTATTGTTACCTGAGTGTTGTTATTTAGGCTAATTATTAGCCTTATTAGACATTTTTCATTTGCAAAATTGCAAAATTACCTGCACACTCGGTTTGGATAATCAGCTGAGGGTAAAAGTCAGGGTTATTAACATAAATAGTTTTCTCACCACTAATACCATGGTAAATGTAGACATGGATACCTGCTATAGTGCTAAGACATATTCCTAACAGAGTTTTCATTCACTGAAAAAGATAGAGGACAATATTCTAGTGTAGTCTGTTGGTATATTTAAATGGTCAGCAAGCCATAGATCCAATTCTTGCATGAAATATTTTACAAAAGCTGCTGAGACCATTAACACGGCTAAGTTCAGTTGAGCGGCTGTTTGACACCTGTAGCTTGCAGGCGGCTGTTTGCGTTACTCAAATAAACTTATTACACAAAACTTTAAACATTAAAATGATTGAAACAAGTGAGTCTGAGTCATGTTCAAATTTGACCCCCGGATAGTTTTCATATATGGGGAAGAGAGCAAGCTTAGCCTAAACCAGGCTGTTAAACTGTGCACTCCAAAATATTGGCTTTAGCTCTGTAGTGAAACAGTGGTGAGGGGGACAGAATGCTTAATTTATCTAATTATTTTTAAAATATTTTGAGGGGCATTGCAAATTAAGGTAGGCTATAGCTACAATGCTCAACCTTTTATTGACCCTTTTTAATTGTATTCTTTTTTTTTGTGTAGCCTGCTCACACTTTCACCAACTCTTTTGGACAGAGCAGAAAAAAAACTAAATGTGAAATCTCAAAATTACAAAGGCAGGCTACCTAATTTTAATTAGACTACAGTGACATCTGCATTTCTCTTTTTGTGTCTTTTTTATTTCACAGAGGCAATCACAAATCTTTAATCATTCTTATTTTGGTAGCCGATGTTCCCTGTCTTAAAATACAAGCTCAAATATGTTTGAGAACACTTTGCGATGAAACATCTCACTTTAAAAATGTATTTTTTTTTTTAAATACTTCTGAAAAGTCATTTAACAGCTTTGTAAACAGTCGCCACAGTCCATGAAAAAGTCGACTCCTCCGTCGGCTAACTATTTGACAATGACAATACGTCACTGTATGACGAAAGCGGAAGTCGTTGGCTGATGTGGACCATAGACGATGTGGACATAGGAGAATGAACTGTTGTCATCTTTGTTATGAAAAGGAGTCTGTTAGTCGCCTAATTACACAGGTGAGCTCGTATTAAATGTACTCTTACCACTCTTTCTGTTTACATTCCTCTGAAGATCGGTTTAAAAAAAAGAAAAAAAAAAAAGTGTTTCTCCAAAGAGCTTAAGGCGTTAGCAATACAAGTTAGCTTGTAGGACAAATCACAAAACGAAGCTTCTTCCTGTTTCGATCAAACGCATGTTTATTTGATCTTTTGCAGTATTACATTTCTCCATGCCTTCGTGATTGTGCTGTTTTTACATATGATCAGCGCATCAAGCTCAATCATCCGTCTCACTAAAGCAGCTTTCTTTCCCACAAACCTGACTGGATATATGCATTTTATAATCACACATTTCAATTCAAACACTGGGAAATGTGTCTTTGTCCCACAAGATACATTTATAGCTAGTTTATTCTCACCTGTGACCTGACATAGGGAACCAAAAAGCACACTATACACCTTCTGTCGTTTTCCTTTTTGAATGGAATAAGACTTAACTTCTCTCTCTCTCTCTCTCTCTCTCTCTCTCTCTCTCTCTCTCTGTTTCCCTGGCAGGGCTCACTGGGTGCAGACATGGAAGTGCCTTGCTACACGTCCAAACTGCTTTTTGAGCTCAATGAGCTGCGGAAAAGGGACTACTTCTGTGACTGCAGCATCCTGGTGGAGGGCCGTGTTTTCAAGGCCCATCGTAACGTGTTGTTCGCTGGGAGTGGCTATTTTCGGGCTCTTCTGGTTCACTATCTGCAGGTGAGCATAACCCATCATTCGTGGGGCGGCAGTAGCTCGGTCTGTAGGGACTTGGGTTGGACTTTGGGTAGCTGGAGAGGGAGAGGTGCCCTTGAGCAAGGCACCAAACCCCCCCCAAACAGCTCTGGTGCGCTCCCTGTGTTGCAGTGTGTAGCAACCCCACTCTGACATCTCTCCACTTATGCATGTCCACAGGTCCTGTTTGTGCATATGTGTGATTCGGGCCTATCTCCAGAATAACCCAGGGTTTCCCTCAGGGATTTATAAAATATTTCAAAAAAAAAAAAAAAATCATTGCCTCCTCTAAACACATACACTTGTTTGGAGGTCTGATTTTGGTTTGTTTATAGCTGATTCCTCGTTGCTCTCACAATCTTAAATTGTTGACCTCGTCTGAGGAGTTCATTCAGTATACGTACATTTAGGACTTTTTGCTGGACATCTTCATCAATCTTGGAGATTTCATTTATCATTGAAGATATTTCTCCTTCTATATCGATTCCTTGTAATTAACGTATTATAGCCAAATATATCAAAAAAAAAGAAAACTTGATTTGGCTCATAATCTCATTCTATAATCAGCAGAATTCGTATCTTCAGCTAAGTTGCAGCGTAATTGTTTTTAACGTCTTATTGCATCTCTTTCATTTTAGGATAGTGGACAGCGCTACAGTACAGCGTCATTGGACATCGTCACAGCTGATGCCTTCTCGATTATCCTGGACTTCCTTTACTCTGGCCGCTTGGCCCTGAACAGAAGCAATGTCATTGAGGTTATGTCGGCAGCCAGCTACTTGCAGATGACTGATCTGGTAAACTTTTGCAAAGGCTACATACGCTCATCTTTGGAAATATGCAACAAGGAGAAGGAGAGGAACACAGAGAAGGAGGACCAGGCTCAGGATGGAGGGAGTGGACCTGCAGACAGTGGCACTCCTGCCGCAACAATCTCCGGCGGTGCCGCAGCGGAGGAGCCGCATTCACAGGCCGCAGAGGCCGATAGAGGGTCGGGGTTAGGAACAGAATCTGTGACCTCTGTCCGCACTACAACTCCCAGCACCAGCAGAGACATGGATAACAACTACAACTCTAGAGTGGGATTTTCATCTGTGAGGGAAGGACAAAAGGTACACATGGATCAGACTAACCTCTCATCCTCTTCATCGTCTGCATTGACCCCAGAGTTAGTGCACCCCAAAATAGAATATGACCCCGATGAGGATCTCATGGAGTCCCCTGACACCAAAGAACTGGTCCCTTATCCTGGGTCCTCTCTGCATAACCCTCATCACAGCAGGCTACATCCGCCCTCTCCGTCCAATGAGCGCTCTCCCATGGGATATGGCTCCTCCTATAATGCCAGGCAGATGATGGAGATGCTGGCTAGAGGGGAAGGCTCCAGTCCTCTGGGAGACAGAGTAGGGCAGCGCTTTAACCAGGGACTAGGTAGCAGCACAGGAGGAAGTAGAATGGACGAGGGTTTAGGGTTTGTGGGGTCTTCCATCATGGAGATCCAGTCTGATTGGCTCGGAGAGGACACAGGTAATCAGCCAGGTCAATCACAGCTTGTGTAGACGTTCACTGGTGACAGATATTGCAGTGTGGCCCTGTTAAAGTTGATCTTAACAACAGGCCTGTTACTCCCCCTGCAGGTGATGGCTTGGTAGTGCCAGTGAAACTCCACAAGTGCCCGTTCTGCCCGTACACTGCCAAGCAGAAAGGGATCATGAAGAGACACATCCGTTGCCACACAGGAGAGAGGCCCTTCCCTTGTCCCATGTGTGGCAAGAGGTTCACAAGACAGGAACACCTCCGCAGCCATGCGCTCAGTGTAAGAACTCTGTGACTGCAGGATTATCAGATTAGATTTGTATTCACTTGAGTCGTGTAACCTGTTTCTGATATGAAGGCCTTTAGGTCTAAGGTACAATAGGCGCAAAATAACATTGAAGAAAGAATTCTCCATGTTGCCTGTCCACCCACACGAACACTTTTTGAAAGTAGGGAATACAGTATGTGTGCTGGCAAATGACATCCTAAACATATCTTCAGTTGTTTGAAAATGTGAAGTCACACTTACTTTTGATAAAACACTTTTTTTTTATTCATTTCCGTTGTGTTGTGAGATTGCACATGTTGTTTACAGACTAATTATTTTTCCCACACTGCCGTGGATCGTATAATCAATGACACATGGTTGAATTATTATTAACAAAAGCAGTTAGAGCCTGTTATTTCTGGCAGTTTGTCGCAAGCAGTGATTATTTGAGGGCTGTTTAGTTCACTTGCTTTCACTGTCACTTGTGTTTTGTGAGCAGTATTAAGAGAGCAGTACATTTTTAGGCTCCGACATAGTCTATGTTATTTTTTTGGACCCGAATTATATGGTATGTTTGGGGTCGTTGGCGATATTGACGTTAAGAAAAGAAAAAAATCCGAAATCTTTGCCGATATCTTTCTCAGATCTATCTTCCATCTGTAGAGATTGATAGATATAGATATACACATATATTGCGTTGATCTGAAATGCAGTTATCAAACACTACAGGACTGTTGGAGTGATAATGATTGTTGTTATGCTTTTAGCACACTTTGCTGGTGACAGCCAGAAAGAGAAATGCTGCTGTAATACATTGATACTCAAATGAAATGCTATATGACTGGTGCATATCTGCGATAATATAAACCAATACTGATAATAACTTGATATGCTAATATCGGCTGATATTATCGGCTGGCAGATGTATCGCTCTACTTATCTTGTATTGATTTAAAGGTCGGTGGGGGCTGTGCCAAATGATTCACGCTCTGCCTTCTATGTTGAACACCAACAGGTCCACAGGCACTACTGGCCCGTATCATGTAAGAGCTGCAGGCGATCCTTCACTGGATCCAGCGTTTCACCGGGACTGAGACGCTTCGGCATCTGCGATAGCTGCAACTGCGTGACCACCACTCATGAGGATACTGTCCCCATTCACCCTGCCAGCCAACCGGAGTCTATGGAGCGTCCAGACGGGGCTACGGATTGGTCCAGTTTTATGGACGACGTAGACGAGGTGGAGGTTGGCAGAGTGGAGGACTTGGTTGAGAAACAGATGCTTGAAAGGCAACTGACTGCCTGCACTGACGTTGGTCACACACTGTGAATCTTTAGCACAAAGGAAAATCAGTCCTTAAACTTTTATAATGTCCAGATTAACAGCCACACTTTTATTTATGACGATAAAATGGCTATATCTGTTTACTAATTTGTTACCAGAGAATGTTTCTTTCTCGCTGTTGGGAGATATCTGTCGTCAATGAATTGCCTTGAAGTAAATAGATTGTGTCTTTCCTTTTATTTAATTAACCTTAAATATGGTATGACGACTATTTAATTTATGTCTTTGGACTGTCACATTAACATGTCTCCCTGTCTGCTGTACATGAAGAGAATGTGTGTGTCAAAGTTGCTTGTTTTATGTTTTGTTGTGTTTTGTCCAAAAAAGACCACGTTCCACAGATATGATGTGATATGGGGTTTGAAAAAAAACAGGGCCATTTGTGGGTGTTGTTGCAATAAATGTGTTGTGTTATTCATTTGTAAACACACTCAAACCGTATGTGACTATTTATTTTCTTGATGTAGATTATGACACCTTCTAGTCTCGTGATGATTTCCCCCCTGCTTCATGGTTTTGCATCAGTTGATGATTCTGCACGGGATCATTTAAAAGCTCTTTTGAGCCCTCTAGTGGATGAGTTCATGAATAAGGAACACTACACTACATTTAACTTTCTACCACAGGAAGTATTTAAAAAAAAAAAAAAAAAGACATTACAAAGGGCTCAGATTAAACTTTTAACCGTATCACAATCCGTCCGTGGCACGAGCATATAATAATCTAATAGTCAAACGAGTGGGCGACTACATTTGTTTGCCCTCCCCCCCCCTCAGAATTCAGGTTTTATTTTGCAGGACGATTGTCACAGACAGGTAGATGTGCAGAAACCTGTCAGCAGAGCAGCAGGATCATGGGGCTTCATGTGCGATTTTCCTGCATTTTCCCTTTGATTTGTTTGATTCCCCTTCTCACTTCGGGACCGGGATGCTCAGCGCGCTACACAGAGGACTGGACCAGTTTGGACGCCAGGCCACTGCCACAGTGGTACGACGACGCGAAGATCGGGATTTTCGTCCACTGGGGGGTCTTCTCGGTCCCTGCCTATGGGAAGTTTAGTGAGTGGCTGTGGTCCTGGTGGAAGACAGCGAAGCGCCTGGACGTAGTTGAGTTCATGCGGAAGAACTACCGCCGGATTCGAGTACGCGGACTTTGCGACTCAGTTTCACGCAGAATTCTTCAATCCGGATGACTGGGCGGACATATTCAAAGCCTCCGGAGCCGGGTAAATTCATTATTACTCCCCGTAGAGAGACAGATACTAGGAGCCACACAAACCTGTTGTATTTCTATCAGAGTTTTGTTGACATTGCAGCTTTTGTTTCCAGTGTTTGCTCAGCCACAGCCACTCCTGCAGGTGCTTTACCACATTGAGGGCATTTAAATATGAATACAGTAGCCTGCTCAATTATTAACGTTTCTCAAAAGTGATATAAGAATGCTTTCAACAGAATCCCTTGTTCACTCCCCTGAAACAGAAATGTTTTGAAGCATATTGTGTGCAATTATATTCTTTTTAAGGTATGTAGTGTTCACATCCAAGCACCATGAAGGATTCACAAACTGGCCCTCTCCTGGCTCTTGGAACTGGAACTCAGTGGATGTGGGTCCTCATCGGGACCTGGTGGGAGAGCTGGCTGCAGCTGTCAAAAAGAGGTGAGGAAAGTGTTGAAGGATGATGCATCTTGAACCTGTCTTACAATATGTTGTGAAAGTGAAATGGGTCATAAGAAATAGAGTAGAAATTGTTGATTTGCGTAGTAAGATGGATAAGAAAGAGCAAGACTGAAGTGTGCATTCAGTCATATTTGTCTTCCATCAGGTCACTACATTGGGGTCTCTACCACTCTCTGTATGAATGGTACCATCCCCTTTTCTTGGCGGACCAAGCCTCTGGATTTAAGACTCAGGATTTTGTTGCCCAAAAGACTCTTCCTGAGCTAGTGCACCTCGTGATGGAGTACCAACCAGATCTTATCTGGTCTGATGGGGACTGGGAAGCACCTGACACCTACTGGAACTCCACCCAGTTTCTGGCCTGGCTGTACAACGACAGCCCAGTGAAGGTGAAAGAGAATTCTCGACAGGTTTTTTTAAGAACCTGTTTATTTCATCACATTTGTCAAGCATGATGTAGGACTAGTCCTTCTGGTAATCAATCAATCTCAATCAATCAATCCTTATTTGTATAGCCTCGACTCATAACAAGTGTTATCTCCAGACCCTTTACAAAAAGCAGGTAAAAGAACTTACTTATTGCTATATTGCAAAGACCTGGATTAATCCATCATGAGCACTTATAAGCAAAGCAGCAAAAGTTACAGTGGTAAGAAAAAACTTTAAGAGGGAGGAAGGGATAGGGGGAGAGGGATAAGATGCAGGAAGAGGGATGGGGAACAAGGGGGGGGGAGGTGTTGTTCAGGCAGGCTCTAATACCCTCAAACTCTACTGTAAGTTCAATGATTAGTAATGCTTTTATCAAATACTGCATTTTAAAAATAGCATTTCTGGTGATAATCTTTTTCTTCAGGATGTGGTGGTCACAAATGACAGGTGGGGTAAGGGCTGCTACTGCAAACATGGCGGATACTACAACTGTGCAGACAGATACACGCCTGGTAAACTTCCAGATCACAAATGGGAGAAATGTCAGTCCGTTGACAAACGCTCCTGGGGTTACCGAAGGAACATGAAGCTGAGTGAAGTCATGGACCTGCCGTCCATCATAAAGGTGAAAGGACATGGTAGAACACTGCTGACTAAGGTTCTTTTGAACATTTTGGAGTTAGGTTCTTTGTATAAATCTAACACATTTTCCCTCAGGACATGGTGTATGTGGTGGCACTGGGAGGTAACTACCTGCTGAACATCGGGCCGATGTCAGATGGAATGATAGCCCCGGTGTTCGAGGAGAGGCTGAGGGGACTCGGGGCTTGGTTGGGGGTCAATGGGGAGGCCATCTATGCTACCAAACCCTGGAGAGTCCAAACAGAGAATGACACCAATGTCTGGTGAGTTATTTTTCAATTCTCTTCCATTGATCTATTTTCACATTACGGTGACAGCAGGCAAAGCAGAATGGTCCAGCTGCCCATTTTGTGATTTGGGGAAAATGATGTAATGCCAGTGTTAGTTTGACCTTAGCCGCTGTTTGCTGTTATTACAGGTACACTGCCAAAAACAACACAGTTTATGCTACAATCATCGGCTGGCCTACCAAACAACCACTTCAGCTCTTGACACCAAAGACGTCGGATGCCACCAAAGTAAGCTGCAAACCTTAATGTTTTTAAAGTTGAATTCTAGTTTACTTCGTTTGTCATTCATATAAACTCCAAAAACTACTTTGACGCTCACAGGTTACACTGTTGGACTACCCAGATGTACCACTGAAGTGGGCACCAGTGACAAAACAAGCTGGACTCGTGATTGTTTTGCCTGCAATGCCGTTTTCTCCAGGAAATGCTTGGGCTCTGAAACTAGAGGGAGTGGTCTAATGCTGCAGAGCACATAGCACAAACTAGTGCAAGAAGTATTTAGGTAAAAGGGTAGGTCTGTTATACTTTATTTTTTAGGGCTTTCACACTTGCAGAAAACTCCTGAAAAACTTTCCAGGAGGAGCTGTATGTGTGAACGCAAACAGCCACATTTTTCGCTTGGACTTCACCGGAGTTTCTCCTGCCGGACCCCTAGTATTTTGTCCGCAGCAAGTCAGAGTGAGCTGATGTGAGAATGCCGCAGGATATTCTCCGGAGAATTCACCTCGAGCCAATAGGTGGGAGACGTTTATAAACTGTGTTCTCTGCTATTTTATTGATAGTGTCATTCCGTTGGACTACACGTAGCATTGATATAAAGGCAAATATTCTCAGTATAGCGTCTAGGGATGTAAAGATATATCGTAAAATCGTGTCGATTCAAAGGTGTCAAGATTCACATCGGTATTTTGAAAAAAAAATGAATCGCAAAAATAATATGGTGAGCGTCAGCAGCTGTAGAGTAGAGGCGATTGGCAGCTGCAGGCAAGATTTTGAAATTGAGGACGCACCACCGTCTTTTAAATCGGAGGTGTGGAAGCGTTTTGACTCCCCCAAGACAGAAAATGAAAGAGGCGAGAAGATAACAGACAAGACAAAAACTGTGTGCAAATACTGTAAGAAGACAGAGAACTACACAAATAGCACAACCAACATGATGCAGCATTTAATCGACACCACAATGAGAAGCTCCAATCCCCTCCCCTTGTAGAGAGAAAAAAAAACATTAAAAGGCCAAACCACACTGAAAGTGGGTTTGCAGCCCCTAAACGAATCTTTTTCAGTAATCATTTGTCTACATTCTCATTTTGTAAAATAAATCGTGAGAGAATCGTACCGTGAGTTGAGTGAATCGTTTCATCCCTAATAGCGTCGTATGTCGGACTGTTGCGTCGTCAACTACTATCGCATGTTTTTTTTTTTTTACGTCACGTCTTACCTCAGGAGACCCCTTGCCCCCCCTCCCCTCTGACAGGGATAGTCTCCTGCTGAGAGGAGCATATGTGAGTCCACTGATGAGGTTTAATTGACAGGGTCATACATGATAATGCAGTGACATAAAAATGCTGAGACTTAGAAAGAAAAAAAAAAGCACTTTATGTAATCACTGTTTAAGTTGTCGAGGAAAATATAATTTGTGTGTCTTTGAATTTAATAAAAATATTTTACTAAGCGTTGGGGGGAGGGTGTTTGGCTTTTACAGCTATGGGAAAGCTTTTAAAGAGGAGCAATTTTGTTAACAGGGTTTCCTAAATAAAGATCAATCCTCTGTGAGTTATATTTCTCGTGTGATGGTGTTTTCATTTAAAATGGCGCTGGTATCTCCAACACAGCTAACACACAATGGCTGTGTCGGGAAAGAGCTGCTTTTCACTAAGGTTTTTCAATTGTTGTTTTTGATCCTAATGCACCAAAAACCTATTTTACCCCCAGAAGTGCGAATGACCCTCCAAAGAAAGAAATCTTAAGAGGTCAAAACTGAAACATGGATAAGAATACATCTGGGGATTCCCCCCCCCCGCAGAAGAGAAGAAACCAACACATCAACATTAAAGTTCCTGTTCTACCAGATTTATTGTCTCCCCTATTATTTAAGGATTTGATTGATCCTGTGTTTCCTTGTGTCCCCCTTTACATTGTACAATATATTTACTTGTCGATTGTTATTTTATTTAAACTTTGTTTAATCTCCTAAAGTGAGGTTTTGAGATAAGCCCTTAGGGTTTCTACCTCACCAGCTCATGTGATTTATTTTTATTTGCTCTATTCCTTTTTGACTGTTCTTTCAACAATGTGTAAATAAACTTAACTGTATATCAGGGATGGGCAACTTTGGTCACCAGCAAGGGCCACATTCATTTGATTCTCACTGCCAGAGGGCCAAATTGTAGGA